ATCAAATGAGGTCCCTGTATGCTTTCCTAAGCAGGTGCTTTAGACCACTGAGTAATCTTGACAGTGCTTTTTTTTTCTTTTAACGGGGATTTAAACTCAGGACATTGTGCTTGCCAGGCAGGCACTCTGCTGCTGAGCTGTATCCTCAGCCATAGATTAAATGTTTTATCAGGGGCTGGGGTTGTAGCGCAGTGGTACACTAGGCCAGGAAAATAGAAAGGTAATAAATATTTTTTAAGCCTTTTCTCAATAAATTTTTGTAATAGCCATAAAAGCACATTAAAAATAGTTACATAGTATTTAATTTAAATTTCACTGATTAACATCACTAATCCCTTCTTAGGTTCTTGGCATTTACAATGTTTATAGGTACTGTACACAGTACTGCAGTAAACATTCTTGCATATACATCTTTGGATAGAAGAATGCATGTAAACATTAAACCAGAAAAAAAAAATTGCCCTTTCTTTGAGATAGATTCTCAAGTGCCCAGTATGAAGGTGACCCCTGTACTCGGGAGGCTGAGGCAGGAGGATTGCTGCAGTTCAAAGCCAGCCTGGGATACATAGCGAGTTTAAGGCCAGTTTGGATATAGTGAGACCCTATCTCAAAAAACAAAAAAACAAAAAACCACATAAATAAGGGGGGGAATAGGGATATATAGTTCAGTGGCATAATGCCTGCCTGGCAAGTGCAAGGTCCTGAGTTTGATACCTGTACAAAAAAAGAAAAACCTGCAAAACCAGCCATGGTTGCTCATGCTTGTAATCCTATGGCTCTATGGGGTAAAGCAGGATGACAGCAAGTTTGAGGAGGACAGGGTAGACTATTTGGTGAATTTAAGGCCGGTTTGGATTACATAGTGAGGCCCTGTGTCCAGAAGCAGAAGAAAAAATTATTTGGAGTACAAGTTTCATGTCCATCCCTGGAATTTTTGTGTCAAAAGGTGTTATTTCTCTCTTTTTGAAAATATACCTTGAATCTGAAGAAATAATTTCACAGTTCAGTGTGGTGCTGGTGATAGATATTGTTTATAATTTTAAATTTCAGTTTTGTTTTTGTCTTTTTTTTTTTTTGTACTGGGAGGAAATAAAATAAGGACCTTGCACTTGCCAGGCAGGTGCTGTGCTTCTAAGCTATATTGTTGGCCCTTGTTCTTGTTTTAATATACTTACTCTCCTGTAAGCAGATGGAATCCTAGAAGTAAATGATAATTTTCTGTTTTCCTTCATTAGGTTTCAACTTTCTCTGCTGTGGGGTGAACCGTAAGAGAGGTAGATCTGATGTGTATCTGCTGAAGAAGCTTGAGCTCCTTGCTGTGACTTACAGCCAGCTACTCTTGCCTATTAATAACCACGTACTTTTGCTAGTGGTAGCATGTGGGCTTTTGAGAAGGAGGTTGATTTCTTGCAAGCATCTCTTTTTGTTGTTGCAGTGTTTAAAACATTATATTAAAGTAAAAATTTTTGATTTAAGATAAATAGAAATACATAGTAAATATTTGTTTTGCAAGCATTATTTATGGTAGTTATGATATCCAAATAGAGTACTATTTTAGCCTAGAACTTTTTCTACCAGGTCTGGTGGCACATGCATATATTCTCAGCTTTCTGGGAGCCTGAGATATAGGAGAATCACAAGTTTTACCATAGGTAATTTAGTGAGGTACTGTCTCAGATAAAAAGGGCTGGGATTATAGCTCAGTGGTGAAGTTTCAATCCCTAGTCCTATAACAAAAACGACACAAAACTAACTTCCTACATTTTCATTTCAGTATAGTCTGAAATAAAAAATGTCTGTTTCCCTTTGTGCTGTACACCATTTGCCTGACTTTTTCAGTCCTGTAGGTGGGTTTCATATTCATAATTATAAGAATAATTGATAGTATTTATATAGTGCTTTATATGTCAGATCTGTAGCTTATTATTTAATTCTGCTGCCCCCATCTCTGAACCTAGGGTTCTTAGGCAAGCACTATTAATGCCTGAGCTACACAGCTTCCCCTGTTTCTTCAGTTGAGGGGGTGAGACAGGGCCTCACCACGTAGTCCAGGTTGACTGTGAACTTGCTTATGTACTCCAGGCTGACCGTAAACTCTACGATCCTCCTACCTCCGCCTCCCAGGAGCTGAGATTTCAGGTGTGCACTACCACACTTGGCTATTTTTGCATTTTATAAAGTAAACAAAGCCTAGAGATGTTTTAACCTGTTTGTCAATGACTTCCTAGTTAGTAATTATTAGACTCAAGCCTAGCAAGCCTACGTGTTCAGATTACACAGCCTGAGTTACTACTCGTTATGCTATTTGTTGTTCCCCTTGATAATCTGTTTTTTGCAGAGATAGGTCAGAGCTTGCACATTGTAAGCAAGCATTGTCCTACTTAGATACATTCTCAGCCCATCCTGTTCTTATCTACAACTAGACTGTGAACTAACTTGACTTTACACTGTTTTTTAGATTTTTTTATTTTTGCAGTGCTGAGTGTTCAGTGCAGGGCCTTGAGCACACTAGACATGCACTCTGCTTCTGAGCTATTTCCCTGACTGCTAACTTCTAAACAAAAATAAATGCTTGTTGCTGAATGGGTTCTGTCTAAACCAGACATCTGTGGTAAAGGAAAGAGTAGTACAGAAGCTAACTTCTCTCCCTGACCTTAGCTTTCCTAAAAAAGCAACAAAAGTGTGGGCTCTGTTGTACAAAGTATATATAGAATTATGATTTTTCCAGAACAGTTGTAGAAAGTTAATGTGCATTTTTGCCAAAAATTGATAAATCCTATTGTCAATTCCAGTGTGCCTGAAACAAACTTGTTTTGTTAAAAGTGCTCTTTTTTTCTATTGTTTATTGCAAAAGCATTAATGACAAGCCTTCTATTGTACTTTTTTTTTTTTTGACGGAACCAGGGATTGAACTCAGACCTTTGCGCTTGCCAGGAAGCGCTTATTCTATTGAGCCATCTCCCTGTCCCCTACTCTACTTTTAATCAGACCAAGTCATATACCAAAAAGGAAACTGTAATCTGAGATGAATGGAGCTTTTTGTGTCTGTTAGAATGAGTGATGATTTTTGTTTATTTGTTGTTTTTTTTGAGATAGGAATCACAGGCTGTCTTTGTGTTGCCCAGGTTAACTTTGACTTCCTAGGCTCACATGACCCTCTTGCCTTAGCCTTGCCAGTAGATGGGACTGTAGCCTCTTGTCATTGCACTTGGCACATTACATTTAATGTTTTTGTTGCTGTTTTATTTATTTATTTTCGGAACCGGGGATTGAACTCAGGCCCTTGTGCTTGTTGGGG